TTATTTATTAGAGAGCGAGCGAGAGAGAAACAGCATGAGAGAAGAGAGGGTCAGAGGGAGAAGCAGGCTCCCTGCTGAGCCAGGAGCCCGATGTGGGACTCGATCCCAGGACCCTGGGATCATGACCTGAGCTGAAGGCAGTCGCTTAACCAACTGAGCCACCCAGGCGCCCGGAAAGGCAGAGCTTTAAACATTGGTTTGTCATGAACACCAGGGCCCCAATGAATAGCATAAAAATGAGTTGAGAAGATTATTACTTCAAAGCCACTTTAATCTGTTCTTCTCTCAAGTTTCATATATGTATTTATTTTCTCTCATTTCATAAATACATTTAAATTTGCCTCCATCTCTCTCTAGTCAATCACCATCTCTAGTGAGATAGCATTTTAGGTTTTTACTTTTGTTCCTATTGAGAACAAGATTACAAAGCCAACTGGGATTCCATTCCTATTGGTGCTGCTGATCCTGTATGGAAGGGAATCAAAAGAGTGAAGGCAACCAACTGACAGATCTTAAAATGTCATTGTAAAGTTGGTGCTCAAATACAGGGAAAGAGAAAAGTAAAAATTAGAGAGAGAAGGATAAGAAGGAACCGTGGAGGAATGTAGGGACAGAGCAGGGAGAAGAAAGGAGAGAAAGAAGAATGGAGAGGAACAAGCATCTTAAAATTTTCTGTTCCTCTACCATGACCATAACTATTAAATCCAGGTTTAATCAGTTACTTTTGTCGTCGTGTTTTCACGGGTCCTGGAAACATCCAACTACATCTATGCCTGAGACAGACACAGGAAAATAAAACAATATAATACCTAACTCTTAAAAGAAATACAGAGCTCTGATTTAACCAAAGCCCGGAGATAAAATATATACAGTACTATTGATCAGAACCCCTTAACACATTCCAAAATTTTAACTGCTTAAACACAGTTAATTGCTGGCACAATATTCTGCTCCCCAAGCCACATGCTAGCCAGTGATTAAATGGTTGTCAGAGAAATGGAAAGCCTTGTCTGTGCTATTGTAATATGGCACTAATGCAGCATTGAATTCCAAAATGAAGAAAAATTTGGTTTAATTTTCTGCTCTTGTCTTGGATGTTGCATCTGATTTCTTCCTAGGTTGTTTCATGAGTTTTGTCCTTTGTTTATTCTTTAATTAATTAGCTCACCACCAATGAGTTCAAAAATCAAGTCTCTTAGCATAATACCCTCTAGTTCCATCCGCATCGTTGCAAATGGCAAGATTTCTTTTTTTGATGGCTGCATAATATTCCATTGTATATATATACCATGTAACATAATAAAAAAAAATCAAGTCTCAATACCAAAACTGTAACATGTTTCCCTGTGTTAAGCTGGTAGGAAAAAAATCAATAATAGAGTAGCTGTGGTTTAGGCAACCAGACTGGGATTTGGGTTGGGCAGAAGAAATGCTATTTATTCAGCCCATAGCACAGTGTAGGCCTCGAAGTATATTGCTGGGAGCCGCTGCAACGCAGCAAGCAGTCCCATCTGAAAATCTGACACAAGTTGCTAATTTGAATGAAAGTTTTAATTAAGCAGCCAGGGCACATAAAGATGCAGAACCAAGTCTACAGAGAATAGCTCTAGCTGAGATCAAAGAGGTATCTTCCCATGACCAACTTTGGAGGGCCTAATGGTCTCACATTGACCTTTCCAACTGTAGCTAACCATTTCAGCAGCCACAACTTTGATCTTGCAGTATGAAGCTCAAGGAAGATAAGTCACAATAGCTAGTAAGTACTATATTTGAACAATTATCCTGATTTTGCACCAAAAATTTTCCTTGCTGATTAGAGTGTTAATATTAGATCTCTCTTCTTCTCTCTCTTTCTATCCACCTAGCTTTCTTTCATACATTGGCAATGTATGCATAAATAAGAAAATTAAGCTATAGGTAGGTGGGATCTATTCACTCTATAAGATTTAAAAAGATACAAAAAAGATAAGATTTTTGACTGAAGCCACTTTTACTTAACTCATTTGTTGTTACTTTTAAAAACTTTCAATAGCTGGGGCGCTCGGGTGGCTCAGCCGTTAAGCGTCTGCCTTCAGCTCAGGTCATGATCCCAGGGTCCTGGGATCGAGCCCTACATCTGGCTCCCTGCTCCGTGGGAAGCCTGCTTCTTCCTCTCCCACTTCCCCCTGCTTGTGTTCCCTCTCTTGCTGTCTCTCTCTCTGTCAAATAAATAAATAAAATCTTTAAAAACAAACAAACAAAAAAACTTTAAATAGCCTAATGGGGCGACTGGGTGGCTCAGCCAGCTGGGTGGCTGCCTTCGGCTGGGGTCATGATCCCGGGGTCCTGGGATTGAGCCCCGCATTGGGCTCCCTGCTTAG